ACCTGAGGAAGAGATTAAGAGGCTGGTACCTCCCGAGTACCATGACTTCTGGAAAGTCTTTTCTAAACACAAATCAGAGTGCTTCCCAGAGGCTAAGCCTTGGGACCATGCTATAGATTTGAAAGACACCTTCAAACCAAGGAAGGGACACATGATACCGCTCTCTACTCCTGAAAGAGACGAGGTATCTAGCTTCATAGATGAACAACTTAGGAAGGGTTACATCAGACCTTCCAAAAGTCCTATGACGTCCCCGGTGTTCTTCATCCCTAAAAAGGATGGTAAGAAGCGCATGATTATGGACTATTGTTACGTGAATGAGCACACGGTTAAAAACGCGTATCCGTTGCCTTTAATTAGTCAGCTAGTAGACAAATTGGCTGGTGCCAAGATCCTGACTAAAATGGATCTCAGATGGGGGTACAACAATGTACGAATCAAAGAGGAAGATGCTTGGAAGGCCGCATTCACGTGCCACCGAGGATCTTTCGAACCCCTTGTTATGTTCTTTGGGTTGACCAATTCACCGGCGACCTTCCAAAGCATGATGAACGAGATCTTTGCGGATATGGAGAACTGTGTCGTCATTTACATTGACGATTTATTAATATTTACGAAGTCGGACGATGAGGCTGAGCACAACAAGATCGTGCAAGAAGTCCTTCGACACTTACAGGAACGGGACCTATTCGTCAAACCCGAAAAATGTAATTTTAAAGTGAAGGAAGTAGACTTCCTCGGTATGATCATAGGCCAGAACGGAATCAGGATGAACCCTGAGAAAGTTCAAGCTATTTTGGAGTGGCCAGAACCTACTCGCGTCAAAGGAGTTAGGGCCTTCCTCGGCTTAGGCAATTTCTACCGAAGATTTATAGAAGACTTCGCAAAAATCACGAGACCGTTGAACGATCTCACAAAAAAGGACATTGTTTGGCATTGGGGTGCCAAAGAACAGGAAGCTTTTAACAAGCTTAAACAGGCATTTACAACAGCGCCCATATTGGCATTTCCCGAGTTAGACAAAGAGTTCCGGCTAGAAACCGACTCTTCTGACTTCGCCACTGGGGCTGTTTTATCAATCAAATGCCCTGACGATCTTTGGAGACCTTGTGCCTACTTATTGCATAGTTTGTCGCCTACAGAGCGCAACTATCAGATTTATGACAAGGAGATGCTGGCCATCATTAGAGCTTTAGAGCACTGGCGGCACTACCTAGAAGGTGCTAGGCACCAATTTGAAATTTGGACCGATCATAAGAACCTAGAGTACTTCATGACGGCCCGAGACTTAAACCGAAGACAAGCCCGCTACGCGGTGTATTTGTCAAGGTTTAACTATAAATTAATTCATAAGCCTGGAAGCTCAATGGGAAAAGCGGATGCTTTATCCAGAAGAGAGGATCATGCCAACGGCATTGAAGATGACAACAAAGGTGTCACCCTGATAGATCAATCAAGGGTTGCCAATGTTAGAATCGGGCAAGATTCCGATCTCCAGGAAGTCTTCAGGAAAGACATCTCCCCAGAGGAAAAGGCGCGCCTTGACGGCAATGAAAACTATTTATGGAAAGACGGGTTCTTTCATTTTAAAAACAAAATCTATGTGCCTGAGTCCGTAAGGATCAAGACCATAGATAGACATCATGACACTCCAGTGGCTGGGCACCCTGGATGGCAACGAACAATGGAGTTGATCTCCAGAAACTACATGTGGCCTGGCATGGTCAAAGACGTACAGGAATACGTAAAATCCTGTTTGAGATGTACCATGGCCAAGAATTCTCATCAACCGCCGGCGGGAAAACTAATGCCGAACCCGATACCAGCTGGCCCCTGGCGAGATATATCGGTGGACTTTACAACGGATCTGCCTGAGTCAAACGGGTACGATTCAGTAATGGTGGTGGTAGACCGCTTCTTCAAAGAAGTGGTATTCATACCCACCAATAAAACTATTACCGCCGCCGGTACGGCAGATCTATTTAAGGATTTTGTATGGTCCATCCATGGGTTACCAGAAACGGTGATCTCCGATAGAGGACCGCAATTCGCTAGCAAATTTACGAAAGAATTATGCCGGATGCTGGGCATCAAACCCAAATTATCAACGGCGTTCCATCCGCAAACTGATGGACAAACGGAGAGACTTAACCAGGAGTTAAAGCAGTATCTCCGAATATTTATTAATGATAGACAGACGGATTGGGCCAAGTGGCTAAAGATAGCCCAGTTCTCATATAATATCAAACAGTCGTTGGCTACAGGAAAAGCACCATTTGAGGTTACTAGATTGTACCTCCCCAGAATGGGTGTAGAACCTGGCAAAAGCAAAAACAAGGCTGCTGGGAACATGGCGAAAGACATGAAGTCTGTCTTGTGCGAAACGCGCAAAGCGCTATTTAAAACTGCAGAGCAGATGAAAAACAGGGCAGAGCGTAGACGCTCTAAGGCCCCTGATTACAAGGTCGGCGACCTGGTCTGGTTAGATACCGACCACTTAAAATTAAAAGACCGGCAGTCTAGAAAACTGACCGAAAAGTGGATTGGCCCTTACCGGATTAACGAAGTCAAACCTAACGCAGTGGAGCTGGAACTCCCAAAACGAATGAGGGTGGTACCCACGGTTAACATTAGCCGTGTGAAACCCTACAAAGGACCGCTGCCGGGACAGCGCGTAGACCGGCCCGGTCCGGTAGTAGTCACCCAGGAAGGTGAAGAAGAGTTCGAAGTCGAACGGGTGGTAGATGCACGCTTGAAGCGTGGAAAATTAGAGTTCCTGGTCCTATGGAAGGGCTATGGAGACGAGGACAGAACGTGGGAACCAGAATCCCATCTGGAAAACTCCCGCGATGCTGTTCGCGAATTTTATTCTAGGAATCCCTCAGCTCCCAGGAAGCTTAGAGGCATGGATTCAAACCTTTTTAATTCCCTCTTTCAACCTATGCCCGAAAATTTTACCACTACCTCCGGAATTTGGTCTCGCCTGGAAGTCGAGCCTTAGAAGGGGGGTAGTGTTACGATAACACAATTTCCGGACATCTCCTGTCCTTTTTATTCTCCGCTTTAACTTTATACTTTAAGTGCCACGCGGCATTTCCCTTTCTCGCGCCGCGTTGCCTTTCTTTTACTTTTAGATTTAACTCTCTCACGCAGTGGAGCTGGCCATACGGGCTAGGCCCTATGACATCATCAGCCACTGCCTTCATCAACTGTATAGTACACATGTACAAACAACCTGTAGTAGTATATATACCCCAATAGATCCAGGAGACTCCTCAGCGAGTCCTCCTGTTGTATACCAACTAACTCACTGCAGCCCAAGGGGTACCCACTCCCCATCTTCCACTACCTTTATAGTGTGTTCCTGTGTGCGCCAGAGTAACTAACTCTTGGTTGTTACATATGCTTGTCTCCTTCTCTCATTCGGATGTTATTATATCCCCATCTTACGTCCAGTTTTGTGAAGTATTTCGCTCCACTCAACTTGTCTACTAGTTCTCCAATCAACGGAAGTGGATATCTATTTTTGATAGTGATATCGTTTAGCTTCCTATAATCTTGAACCGGTCTCAACTTCCCGTCTTTCTTTTTTATGAAGAAGAATGGTGATGCAAATGGGGACTTCGATGGTCTTATCCGTCCCGATTCTAGATTCTCTTTCAGGAACGCATCTATTTCTTCTTGCTCTCCTCTTGCTAATGGATAGATCTTGCAATCTAGGGAGTGATCTCCCGGTATTAGTTCAATTGCGTGATCCCATTGCCTTCTTTCAGGTAACGTGTCAAACTCCTTTTTATCAAATATGTCTTTCTATTGATGAAGGTGTTTTGGCACTATCTTTTCGAATCCTCCTTCTTTTCGATCTTTGCCTGCGGCTTCTGCTAACTTCTGTGCCATTGTGCCTTGGGCTCTGATATGGTAATATTGATCGTCAATCGTGGCATCTTCGAAATTGTGGAGATTCACCTGTATCATCCTCTCGTCTTCTCCTAGTTCCTCAAAGAATATTTCCGGATCCTCCTCTGGATCAGAGATTTGGATTCTTGGTCTGCATTCTTCGGGACATCTTTCAAAGGTCAATTTCGATTCCTTCCAGTCTATTTTAGGATTGTGTTTGTTCAACCACTCATGTCCTAGAAACATTTTTCCGTTACCCAGATTGGTTACGGCAAGATGTATCTTCTCGACGTGTCCGTCGATTTCCATGAGCAGTATTACAAATTTGTTGATGGCTCCGTTTTTATTAAGAGTTCCATCTGCATTGTAAACTGGAATAGGTCTCAGTATTTTCCTTGTTTCGTATCTTTTGTCTTTAACAAATTGGGAGTCGATGCAACTCCCCGTGCATCCACTATGCAATAGTGCTTCGACTGTTTCTGATTGGAGAGTATCTAATGTAGTAAGCTTACATTTTACGTTCATTTGATTGCCTTGGGTGCCCCTGATGTACTTTTTTGGGGAGGCAATTTCTATGATCGCTTGTATAGCTTCTACTTTTGGTAACCGGTTGATTTCTTTTATCGTTTCCCGGGTTACTTCTCTCGCTCTCTTTTTATGTGTCCAGGCACTTAGAATCCCAATGGATCTTTCTTCCTTTTGGTCTTTTAGCCTGTCTACTACCCACTCTGGGGTCCAGACTTCTGTTCTAGGTTTTTTTAGAGGGGTTCCTGACCTCTCTTCTACAGTCTCTGCTGCGTTTTTCTCCGTAGAGCTTGCCGCATTGGGTGTAGGAATCTTAGGTTCTATCGTAAATGCTGCGCCTTTTAGTGATTCGCCCGCCGTCGGAACTGCGGATGTCTGATCACTCTGCGCCGCTTTCACTCTAGTTGCATCTTTTTTGTTTCAGATTTCTTTCTTTGTCTGGGTGGAAATAGTTTTATTGTCATCCGCGCTAAAGCTGCAGCGTAACAATTCTGAGTCATACATATCTACAGTCAAAGGAAGAAATCGATTCAAAACATCTTTAGGCTCAGTCGGTCGATGCGGTACCGCTGGCCCCCTTAAAAACCCTCAAGGAGTTTTTCCCTTTCCTCTTTTGTCATCTTTTCTAAGAACTCTCGGACATTAAATTGTGGCTTCTTCTTTTGTGCGTCTTTGCACTTGAAGCTTCTATGTCCCTTTTCTCCGCATCGGTAGCATCGTCCCTCGGTGTGGAACTTCGCTTTATCTACCTCCATTCTTTCTCCGTTACCGGTATAGGTATACCCGGTTCCGTCTCTCTTCTTTTCCGCTTCCTTCTTTTGTTCCGAATAGGGTTTCTTCCCCGTTTTGGAGCCTTTCTTCTCTTTTTCCCTTTCTCTCCAAATATAGTCTATTCTGATAAGTTCCTTTTTCCACTCTTGGTAATCTCTGGGAATATGCCCGCCGTAGATCACCCTGTCTACTAGCGGCTTGTTCATGTTCCTTCTGAGTAGAGATATCAGGAATTCTTCGTTTATTCTGTTTGTATACCCCGCCCATCGTTTCTTTTCTTCAAACCTTTCAAAAAAGGCTTGGGCGGTTTCATTGCCCTGTCTTAGGGTCAATATTTCATTTTTGGCAGCTTCTTTTTCAAAGCTGTCCTTGAATCTTTCCTCCATTTTGTCCGCAAAATATGGCCAGCTTCCATATGTGTTTGTAATATCGAGCCCCAGCTGTTGGGCGTTGACTCGGTTCTCTAGCCAATCGGTCCAAAAGGCCGCGGCTTCTCCTTCTTTCATAAAAGATAGCACAAAGCTTATCTTCTTTCTGTCATCTTTGAAGTGTACGGCATTGTCTTCAAAGTGTAATAATAAGGACTCTCTAAAGGCCGTATACTTTTTCTTATCTCCGGAGAAGTTCTCGGGTTTCTCTAGTGCCGTTCTACTTCTTTCCACCTTTTCTGGAGGTGGCGGTGTCTGCTTCTTTAATTTTCTTTGCAAGACGCTCACTTCTTCGAGCGCCTCGTCTAGCTGGGATTGGTAATGCATTTGTGTTTGTCTTACTGCTTTTTCTACTTCTTGTTTTACGAATGCTTCCAATCGCGCTTCTTTCGGGGGGGGAGTGTCTATTCTGGGTAATGAGTCCATCATTTCCCTGGTAAATGAGCTGTCCGTGCTGTTGGATGGCTCGGGCAGATCTCGATATTCTAGGTTTGACATCGAATGTGAGTTGGGGAGGAGGGGGAGTTTCGGATTTGATTATAGGAGATGGGATTCTGATGGGTACTATTTCTGGTAAGGGGAATTGCCCTCTGAATACATAATCTTGAGAGTAAATGTGTTGCTCTCCGATCCAAATGTAAAAATCTCTACTAAGCATAGAAAGGAGTTCACCAGTGATAAGCTGGATCGATACACCGCTTTCTAAGATCCTAGTAGTCTATCTGTTCTCTTTGAGTCAAAGTGGTCCTCTTCAGCCCACTACTGACTATGTATGTACAGTAACTATTTTTGTATTTTATGAATTTATGTAAAAGGTATCGTATTAAATTGGGGTCCGAACGGTTGTCCCAATGTAACCCACTTATTAAGCTGTCGGTTCTTCTCCCGACTGGCGGACGCAAATGCGCGGCCTGGTCAGAGGAAAGCGAAAAAGAATTTACGTAAAGCCGAGAAAATCCAATGGTTCCACACCAAGGAGATTATGATGATATAAATGTATTTACAGAGGGATGGTGACGAACGAGTCTTGGGATGAGGAGGGGGAGATGTTGGCAGGAAAAAATGATAGGATGGTGTTGGGGTGGGTGGGTAGGTGATGAAGTGGGAGGGTAGTGGTGGTTCGGTTAGAGTGTCTAGATAAGGCTATGATGAGGAAAATGATGATGATGGTGATGATAATGGTGGTTAGGATAGTTGCTGTTATATTCATAAACGGTACTTGTGGCAGTTGTTGATTGTGTAAAACCCTTATCCCCTTTACCGAACTAACAGAGGGACGAAGGTTCAAATCAAACAAGTAGCGTTACAAGATAGCGATTGAGAATTAATCAACAACTGAGGAAAGTATATACATGGTGGTTTACTATATATACCTTTCTGAAGTCAACCATGAGGCGCTGACTGATGTTCTTTGTAATGGTTCTAGACTCTTGTCACGTGATGGTCACGTGATCTGATGTAGTCTATGTATTATGTCATCCGCGCTAATAGCAGCAGCTTAACATATCTTATCTGTCATGTGATCAGATATCAAAGAAAATGAAAAAGAAACTAGCGCTCAAACTAGCGCTTCTGGTTCAAGTCGTGACACCTACGGGCAATTGACACTTCTTCACTCTCTTCAACGCCCTCCTCTCCCTCTCCCATACTATCATCGTCACTACTGATCCCCAAGTCCCTCTGTCTGCCTGGGCCACGGTCATCAACTTGATCTTCATCCATAGTCTCTGTCAATTGTTGCTGTATAACCGTGATTTTATCAATCTATCTTGCTGCATGCGGTGTTGATGATGAGAACTGTTGTTAGAAAACCACACACAAAAACAAACTAACAAACAATCCTCCCAGATTCCACGGAACTTGTTTATGGGCTTTGCCTCCTAGAACAGTGGGTGCTCTGGTTGTTCGTGGGGTGGTATGTATGAAGGTCCTTCAAAGTAAAACCCAGAGAGGTATGGGTGTGGGTTTTGAGGAGGAGGGATAGTTGAATTTATAGAAGATGGGGGCTTAATGACGAGTATAGATGAGCACTACCTTGCTAATCGTAGCACAAAGTAGGTTTGAGAATGATAAAGATGACGAGGTGACGAGGTTCCCAGTGATAGCAGGCTCCTGACGCACAAACTGTAGTGCTCAGAAGGACTCTAATCAAAAGGGATGACAGTGACTTTTAAAAATGACGAGTGACGATGACAGCAGATGGCAGTGGTAACAGTGGGAAGTATTGTGACCACACTGGATCACAAGTAGCAGAGTAGTGAACTTGAGATTTAGAGAAGAAGTCTGGAATCGAATTCTTTGTTGTTTTTACAAGGTAAAATACAGGGGTTTATATAGTGAAAAGAAAGGCAGGCTATGCACAGTATAGCTGCGCAAAAAGAATGAGAAAGGACATGAAGGAAAGAATGTACGCTGATGAATCCTGCGTAGTTGCTACAGGATAAGATCATCAAAATAAGGGAAAGAAAGGGATAGAACAATGAATGCTGTGAGTAATGTCACAGGTTTGTACAGCCATAAAGTAAAGTCCAATAGCAAAAAGAGAGCAAGAAAATCATGATGTCATGGGAGGATGCAGTAAAAAAAGGGCAAGGAAAAACACTATCAGTATCAACACAGTTCCTTTATTGTCAGTCAGGCATTCTAAAAAAATATGTGTCCATAAAAATGATTCAAAAATCAAAAATAATTGCACTGTAAATGAATGTTCTGCTGAAAAAAGAAACTGGAGCCACCAGTCCACCACCTAGTCCAAATCCGACAGTTCCATCGCTTTACCAATGGACTGGTTGTGTTGGACCACCTGATCAAACGAGGGAGGGAGAGGAGTAGTTCCAATTTGGAACAAGTGAGTCCCAGGCAGCGTGTGGTAGGTGTAGCTGTAGCGAAGACGATGGACAAAAGATAAGTGTACCCAAGTGAATGGGACAGCAATGAACATGGGCGATGTAAGGGGATGAACCTTCTCCAGCTCAAAAACTACCCACCCACACTCCAACCAGGCAAGACAAGTGACCGATGTTTTGATAGTATGTGATGGCAGATCGACGTCATGAAGATGGACCTGTTGCCCTATTTGGACCGGCCGCCGGGGCTTTGCTGATATCAGCAGTGGCACGTGGTAGTCAACAGATTGGCGACGGAAGCGGATAGGAAGTGGTGACATCAGAAATGGTGGGGGTGCAAATAATATGAGGAGGAGGAGGGTGGAGGTGACGAAAAAGTGGATTAGAATGGGGATCCAGAAACAACCGTCGGGTGAGAATAAAAAGGAGAGGAAGGGGCCCATGGTGGGGCTAGGCAAAGGAAGGGGAGTAAGGGAAGCGACAAAAGCGAGGGCGCAATGCAATGTGTAGCCAGTGGCGACGCGAAAATTTGCCGAAATGCCGAAACACGGAAAGTACCGGATGGAAAAGCAAAGGTGAGCGTGACTGGATTGCCTAATAGAGGTGGTGCTGATCAGCCACAAGTTTGAAACAGGCAATATTAATCACTATTCCACGTGGCACTGTGCCTGTGTGGCGCAAAGGCGAGTCTTTTTTCAAATATTCGCTTCGTTATTGACACCTGTCCATGCTACCAATCAATTTTGGTGCATGACACCGGGGAATACACCTCTCTGAGGTTGATCCTCGAACCTTCTTGCATACTGATTTGTCTGGGTTTTTGCCATCTGCTGTGGCTGTTGCTGTTGCACATGCTGGTGCGTATACGTCTGTTGTCTATAGATAGGTCGCGACGGCTGCATGACTTCTCTCTTTCGTCTTTCGTCTAACTGGAATTCTTCTCTTCTTGCCTCCCATGCGTACGCTTGCGTCTTCCACTCAGCAAATGTTTTTGGTAGGTCCTTCTGGATGATGATAAAATCACAGATTCGAGAGTGAAGATTCTTTTTGAGAATGCAATTGATTACGTCGAAGTGAGTGGTAGCGTCATATCCGGCCTTGTCCATAAGCATTGTGAAGTGGCTAAAGAATTTGTTGCAATGCTTATTCTCCTGTTTGTATATCTTGATCTTGTTTACCGCCTGTGATCTTTCGTTTGGATTCCCAAATACTTGGGCTAGATCGGTTAGGACAGTCGAGAGAGTCGGCCATACGGGGGTAGTTGCGTTGAGAGCTTTGGTAAGCATGTTCTCTTTCCAAGCTTTTACTGTCAACGTTCCTTGGTCGCTGATTTTGGACAGGAGGTAGATGAGCTTCGTCTTCTCGTCTGGAAAGTAGGATGCGTAGGCGGTTAAGTACAACTGTAGTGCTTGGCGCCATGCTATGAATCGTTCCTTCTCTCCTTTGAATTTGAAGGGTTCTGCTGTAACAACCAAGAGTGAATTACTCCGGCGCACACAGAACACACTTGTAGAGAAGATGAAGTTGGGGAGTGGTTACCCCTTAGGCTGCAGTGAGTTAGTTGGTATACAACAGGAGGACTCGCTGAGGAGTCTCCTGGATTTATTGGGGTATATATAGTACTATAGGTTTGTTTGTACATGTGTACTATACAATTGATGAAGGCAGTGGCTGATGATGTCATAGGGCCTAGCCCGTATGGCCAGCTCCACTGCGTGAGAGAGTTGAATCTAAAAATAAAAGGAAGGAAACGCGGTGCAAGAAAGGGGAAATGCCGCGTGGCATTTAAAGTATAGAGTTGAAACGGAGAATGAAAAGAAAGGGAATGTCCGGAAATTGTGTTATCGTAACATCTGCTGCGAGAGTTACTTTGCCGTGTAACTGCGTGGGATTAGACATAGATGAGGGTTTCGGAGGGATTGGAGGTGGAGG